CTTATTTTATGGTAATGTCTGTAGAGTGGGGGAAATCTATTTAGTGGCGCGGAGAACGTATATTAGCGACAATCGAGGGAAGATTGAGTAGTCGTTGGGAGTATTGAGGTAGATTTTTATTTAAGGTTAGTAGACTTTTCAAGGGATATCTAAAGGTGGAGGGAGGTTGAAAACTAGCGGGGGGTGGTGGGTTAGAGACGAGGTTTGTAGTCATCGTTCTTATTTTATGGTAATGTCTGTAGAGTGGGGAAAATCTATTTAGTGGCGCGGAGAACACATATTAGCGACAATCGAGGGAAGATTGAGTAGTCGTTGGGAGTATTGAGGTAGATATTTATTTAAGGTTAGTAGACTTTTCAAGGGATATCTAAAGGTGGAGGGAGGTTGAAAACTAGCGGGGGGTGGTGGGTTAGAGACGAGGTTTGTAGTCATCGTTCTTATTTTATGGTAATGTCTGTAGAGTGGGGGAAATCTATTTAGTGGCGCGGAGAACGTATATTAGCGACAATCGAGGGAAGATTGAGTAGTCGTTGGGAGTATTGAGGTAGATTTTTATTTAAGGTTAGTAGACTTTTCAAGGGATATCTAAAGGTGGAGGGAGGTTGAAAACTAGCGAGGGGGTGGTGGGTTAGAGACGAGGTTTGTAGTCATCGTTCTTATTTTATGGTAATGTCTGTAGAGTGGGGGAAATCTATTTAGTGGCGCGGAGAACGTATATTAGCGACAATCGAGGGAAGATTGAGTAGTCGTTGGGAGTATTGAGGTAGATTTTTATTTAAGGTTAGTAGACTTTTCAAGGGATATCTAAAGGTGGAGGGAGGTTGAAAACTAGCGGGGGGCTGGTGGGTTAGAGACGAGGTTTGTAGTCATCGTTCTTATTTTATGGTAATGTCTGTAGAGTGGGGGAAATCTATTTAGTGGCGCGAAGAACACATATTAACGACAATCGAGGGAAGATTGAGTAGTCGTTGGGAGTATTGAGGTAGATATTTATTTAAGGTTAGTAGACTTTTCAAGGGCAATCTGAAGGTGGAGGGAGGTTGAAAACTAGCGAGGGGGGTGGTGGGTTAGAGACGAGGTTTGTAGTCATCGTTCTTATTTTATGGTAATGTCTGTAGAGTGGGGGAAATCTATTTAGTGGCGCGGAGAACGTATATTAGCGACAATCGAGGGAAGATTGAGTAGTCGTTGGGAGTATTGAGGTAGATTTTTATTTAAGGTTAGTAGACTTTTCAAGGGATATCTAAAGGTGGAGGGAGGTTGAAAACTAGCGGGGGGCTGGTGGGTTAGAGACGAGGTTTGTAGTCATCGTTCTTATTTTATGGTAATGTCTGTAGAGTGGGGGAAATCTATTTAGTGGCGCGGAGAACACATATTAACGACAATCGAGGGAAGATTGAGTAGTCGTTGGGAGTATTGAGGTAGATTTTTATTTAAGGTTAGTAGACTTTTCAAGGGCAATCTAAAGGTGGAGGGAGGTTGAAAACTAGCGGGGGGTGGTGGGCTAGGTACGAGATTTGTAGTCATCGTTCTTATTTTATAGTAATGTCTGTAGAGTGGGGGAAATCTATTTAGTGGCGCGGAGAACACATATTAGCGACAATCGAGGGAAGATTGAGTAGTCGTTGGGAGTATTGAGGTAGATTTTTATTTAAGGTTAGTAGACTTTTCAAGGGATATCTAAAGGTGGAGGGAGGTTGAAAACTAGCGGGGGGTGGTGGGTTAGAGACGAGGTTTGTAGTCATCGTTCTTATTTTATGGTAATGTCTGTAGAGTGGGGGAAATCTATTTAGTGGCGCGGAGAACACATATTAGCGACAATCGAGGGAAGATTGAGTAGTCGTTGGGAGTATTGAGGTAGATTTTTATTTAAGGTTAGTAGACTTTTCAAGGGATATCTAAAGGTGGAGGGAGGTTGAAAACTAGCGGGGGGCTGGTGGGTTAGAGACGAGGTTTGTAGTCATCGTTCTTATTTTATGGTAATGTCTGTAGAGTGGGGGAAATCTATTTAGTGGCGCGAAGAACACATATTAACGACAATCGAGGGAAGATTGAGTAGTCGTTGGGAGTATTGAGGTAGATATTTATTTAAGGTTAGTAGACTTTTCAAGGGCAATCTGAAGGTGGAGGGAGGTTGAAAACTAGCGAGGGGGGTGGTGGGTTAGAGACGAGGTTTGTAGTCATCGTTCTTATTTTATGGTAATGTCTGTAGAGTGGGGAAATCTATTTAGTGGCGCGGAGAACGTATATTAGCGACAATCGAGGGAAGATTGAGTAGTCGTTGGGAGTATTGAGGTAGATTTTTATTTAAGGTTAGTAGACTTTTCAAGGGATATCTAAAGGTGGAGGGAGGTTGAAAACTAGCGGGGGGCTGGTGGGTTAGAGACGAGGTTTGTAGTCATCGTTCTTATTTTATGGTAATGTCTGTAGAGTGGGGGAAATCTATTTAGTGGCGCGAAGAACACATATTAACGACAATCGAGGGAAGATTGAGTAGTCGTTGGGAGTATTGAGGTAGATATTTATTTAAGGTTAGTAGACTTTTCAAGGGCAATCTGAAGGTGGAGGGAGGTTGAAAACTAGCGAGGGGGGTGGTGGGTTAGAGACGAGGTTTGTAGTCATCGTTCTTATTTTATGGTAATGTCTGTAGAGTGGGGGAAATCTATTTAGTGGCGCGGAGAACACATATTAGCGACAATCGAGGGAAGATTGAGTAGTCGTTGGGAGTATTGAGGTAGATTTTTATTTAAGGTTAGTAGACTTTTCAAGGGATATCTAAAGGTGGAGGGAGGTTGAAAACTAGCGAGGGGGGTGGTGGGTTAGAGACGAGGTTTGTAGTCATCGTTCTTATTTTATGGTAATGTCTGTAGAGTGGGGAAAATCTATTTAGTGGCGCGGAGAACACATATTAGCGACAATCGAGGGAAGATTGAGTAGTCGTTGGGAGTATTGAGGTAGATGTTTATTTAAGGTTAGTAGACTTTTCAAGGGATATCTAAAGGTGGAGGGAGGTTGAAAACTAGCGGGGGGTGGTGGGTTAGAGACGAGGGTTGTAGTCATCGTTCTTATTTTATGGTAATGTCTGTAGAGTGGGGGAAATCTATTTAGTGGCGCGAAGAACACATATTAACGACAATCGAGGGAAGATTGAGTAGTCGTTGGGAGTATTGAGGTAGATATTTATTTAAGGTTAGTAGACTTTTCAAGGGCAATCTGAAGGTGGAGGGAGGTTGAAAACTAGCGAGGGGGGTGGTGGGTTAGAGACGAGGTTTGTAGTCATCGTTCTTATTTTATGGTAATGTCTGTAGAGTGGGGGAAATCTATTTAGTGGCGCGGAGAACGTATATTAGCGACAATCGAGGGAAGATTGAGTAGTCGTTGGGAGTATTGAGGTAGATTTTTATTTAAGGTTAGTAGACTTTTCAAGGGATATCTAAAGGTGGAGGGAGGTTGAAAACTAGCGGGGGGCTGGTGGGTTAGAGACGAGGTTTGTAGTCATCGTTCTTATTTTATGGTAATGTCTGTAGAGTGGGGGAAATCTATTTAGTGGCGCGAAGAACACATATTAACGACAATCGAGGGAAGATTGAGTAGTCGTTGGGAGTATTGAGGTAGATATTTATTTAAGGTTAGTAGACTTTTCAAGGGCAATCTGAAGGTGGAGGGAGGTTGAAAACTAGCGAGGGGGGTGGTGGGTTAGAGACGAGGTTTGTAGTCATCGTTCTTATTTTATGGTAATGTCTGTAGAGTGGGGGAAATCTATTTAGTGGCGCGGAGAACGTATATTAGCGACAATCGAGGGAAGATTGAGTAGTCGTTGGGAGTATTGAGGTAGATTTTTATTTAAGGTTAGTAGACTTTTCAAGGGATATCTAAAGGTGGAGGGAGGTTGAAAACTAGCGAGGGGGGTGGTGGGTTAGAGACGAGGTTTGTAGTCATCGTTCTTATTTTATGGTAATGTCTGTAGAGTGGGGAAAATCTATTTAGTGGCGCGGAGAACACATATTAGCGACAATCGAGGGAAGATTGAGTAGTCGTTGGGAGTATTGAGGTAGATTTTTATTTAAGGTTAGTAGACTTTTCAAGGGATATCTAAAGGTGGAGGGAGGTTGAAAACTAGCGGGGGGTGGTGGGTTAGAGACGAGGTTTGTAGTCATCGTTCTTATTTTATGGTAATGTCTGTAGAGTGGGGGAAATCTATTTAGTGGCGCGGAGAACACATATTAGCGACAATCGAGGGAAGATTGAGTAGTCGTTGGGAGTATTGAGGTAGATTTTTATTTAAGGTTATTAGACTTTTCAAGGGCAATCTGAAGGTGGAGGGAGGTTGAAAACTAGCGAGGGGGGTGGTGGGTTAGAGACGAGGTTTGTAGTCATCGTTCTTATTTTATGGTAATGTCTGTAGAGTGGGGGAAATCTATTTAGTGGCGCGGAGAACACATATTAGCGACAATCGAGGGAAGATTGAGTAGTCGTTGGGAGTATTGAGGTAGATT